TGAAAACTTTCCAATAGATTTATAAACTTGATAAAAGATATAAAATAATGTTGTTAAGTCTATAATCCAAAACGATAATAAACCAAACCAAACGTGTGTGTGTGTGTGTGTGTGTGTGATATTGAGCTTGAAGTATTAACACACATAATATAAGCCCTAAACTAATTTAGCCAAGCTTGATTGGTCTTCAATATGCTTGACTTGGTAATCTCGCGGATGAAGCTTGTACTTGATCTTTAACTTTGAATTGTAAGGCTTCACTCTACTATTCCGCCAACCTCCATTGGATATCATCGTTGAAGCTCTATTCCATCCATCCTCCAACTCGTTGTTTGCCTAAAATAAATACGAAATCACAAACACTAGAAAAACCATATTAGAAGTAAATTGTTTGTTAAACATCATCAAAACAAGAAGGCCAACAGCAAGCTGACAGGAAACATCACTGATCAGTGCTGGGAGAAGTATTCTCATCTCAAGCCGAAGGGGTTGAAGAAGAAGGAGGAGAGAAAGGCATACGTGATCGCACAAGGTCCGAAAGAAGTATCCGGGATGACAGAACTCAACAACATGTTGGGTCCTTTTGTTTTGATGATGTTTAACAAATAATCTATCACTAATGTTGTTTGTCTAGTGTTTATGTTTTTGTTTTTATTCTAGGCAAACAATATATTGGAGGATGGATGGAATTGCGCATTCACGATCATATCTAATGGAGGTTGGCGGAATTATGGAGTGAAGCCTTACAATTCAAGTTGAAGATCCAAGTTCAAGCTTCATCTGTGGGTTTACCAAGTCAAGCATATTAAAGACCAATCAAGCTTGGGTAATTTAGCTTAGGAGTTTATATTATGTGTGTTAGATACTCTAAGCTCTATATCACACATACACACAATTCTTGCTTTTGAGTAAATTTGACAAAATATTGAGTTATTGGTTTTTGGACTTAACAACCATTATATACATATTCTATTAAGTCTATAAAATCATTTTATAAGGTTTCAAAACATTATTTAACTCAATAGTAAAAAATCAAGAAGTTTATGTACACATGTATTTACAAGTTTTGAAAAATACATGAATTTTCATAAATGGGAAATTAAATTTGAGAAATTCTTTTTCTAACATATTCAATTTCATATTTATAAATGTTTTCCAAAGTTTTATCAATTTTGGAATTAATTTGTTATGTTTAATCGAATTTTCAAAATCAAGTTTTAAACAAGTTCATGTTCGTGCACATGTTTGTGCATGTTTTTACAAAAAAGATGAGTTTTCACAATTGGGAAATGTAATTTAAAAAATTTCTTTTTTTACATGTTTATATTCATATATACAAATATTTTCCCAAGTTTTACTAATTTTGGAGTTGTTTTGTTATTTTTAATTGAATTTACAAAAATGCGTTTTCAGCACTTTTTTAGAAACTTTATATCTGTATTCAAACAATTATTTATCTCAACTGGGAAGTGATATTTCATAAATTCTTTCTCTAACATATTCATCTACATATATATAACCTTCCCTCAAAATTTCATGATTTTTAGAATTAATTTACTATTTTTAATTGATTTTACAAAATCAGATACGCAAAATTCCAGATTCTGTCAAAATATAAAATAGTCTGTGAACAGTGCGGTCAACCGTGCTACAGTGTGATCGACCGTGAAGGTTATCATTGTACAGTAATGGTAACATTATGTTTTTTGTTTTTAGTGGGTTTTTAGGGTTTTTTAAGTTATTTTCTTCAAGCCTATATATACCCCTTTGCCATAGCTATTTTCTACAACCAAGAGAATGATTTAAGAAGGTTTAACAAGGGTTTAAAGTTTTTTTTAGTGTTTGTCTAAAAAGCTTTTAAGCATTTGAGTGTTTGTTTTGTGAAAATAATTTCACAAGGGCTTGAGGAAGATCATCCATCGGTGTTTGAGCATCCAACTCTTCTTCCTCACTCTCTTGATCTATTGAGAAGTTTTCTAAACTCATATTTAGCTTTACATTTACATATTTATTTGATTATCATTCATTAAAGCTAGTTTTTATATTAAGTTTAGATTTGATAAATCTCATTGTTACACACACCCATTTTGAGCTTATAGTATTTTCATACATAGTATAATTAGGATTGTGAGAGAATTGTAACTTTGAGTTGTGCTTAACTTAGTTCTCACCTTGTTTAGAGAACAAATCAATTGTTATTGTGAGCCTAATTATAAGATCACTATTGTAATACACTAGTACACCAAGAGGAGTGTATGGTGAGAGACGGGGTCGTCCCAAGAGGAGTGGGGTAGGTGATAATGTTTAGAGAGAGGTTGTAATTCCTAACACTTGAGGGAGACACGAGCTAGAGACCAACATTTGAGGTGGTAGTTAGTGTAGTTACATTGTGAGTGTTGTAAGGTTTTCGGTGAGCTAAAAAACTGAGTGTGTCATTGTAAACGTTATTCGAGTGAGTGTAGAAAACCCGGTTGTGATAGTAGAGATCTCCTCGAGGTGAGGAGCGGAGACGTAGGTCATGGGGACCGAACTCCGTGATCATATCGTTTGTTTACGTTTGTCATTGGCATTCATTTATATTTGCGCTCATTGTTTATATTGCCATTGTCAATTGCTCTTTTTTTATATTTCCCACTATCTTTTTTATCTTGTTTATGTTTATTTCACGCTAGTGTTAGTTGTATATCCTTGCACATATATTGTTCATATCTCATTTGCTAGGATATATTTGTTAATAAGTTTTTAATTTGGCATAAATCAGATTAGATTAGCATAAACCCTATTCACCCCCCTCTAGGGTTCTTTCCTAGTAGCATTAGGGGTCTTTCACAACAGTCTCAAGCTTATGGCAGGGAAGCAGGCCACAAAGGAGGACTAGGACCCCCGAGAGCAGCTGTTTGTTCTCAAGTCGCAAGTGAAGACCAGCTTGGTTGATGCCATAGTTATCCAGGGAGCCAGAAGAATTTGATATCCGAGGTCTTGGTTCAGAAGCTAGATTTGAAGACAAACAAGCATCCAAAGCCCTATCCTTTAGGGTGGATTCAGAAGGAGGTAGGACTGAGTGTAGTCAATCAATGCACTTTTAGATTTACACTCCACGAGTCGTATATTGACGAGGTCACGTGCGATGTTGTTCTATTGGATGTTTGTCAGTTTATGCTAGGTAATCCTTATTTGTGGGATAAGTACGTAGTCTATGATAGACGAGCTCAGAAGTACACGTTCACTAAGGACAGTGAGCAATTCATATTTTGTTCGGCGTCTCTTCTGCAGGAGACGAGCTTGGTGATGGTGACTCAGGCGAAGATGCTAGTGAATGCAAGCAATAAGTTTGTTTTATTGATCATTAGGCCTTATGAGGAGCAGCTGAGTAGGTTATGTTTGACTACCTTGAATAAGCTACATGAAGGGGATCTTAATAGGTTGAAGGCCAAGTATGCGGACCTGTTTTCGGAGATCACAGGACTACCACCATGACGGATTGTGGAGCATGAGACCATGTTGACAGGGGAGAGTTCTTGACTTATATCTTGACCCCAAGATATGTTTGTTTTGATGATAACAAATATTATATGTTGTGTGTATTTTGTGCTAACATATGTTTTGCAGTATTCGAGCAAAATCAACAATGATATTCAAAGAGATATTCAAGACACAAGGCAATATAAGACAATTGAAGTTGATACAAGGCTAATTGGAGATGAAAGAAATCAAGATGCTTCAATGATATAATTGTATTTTGGGTTTTCTTTCTTTGGGTTGAATCTTTGTTAAAAGCCTTGATCACTCAAAACACATACACGCACATAGTATTTAGAACACACTAACACATGCTTAGTGTGTGGTTAACTATAGAAATCCTCTAAGTTAACCATTAGAGTTTATAGATATAGAAGGTGTCTCAAAACATATCAAATATCTCATATCTTAGTATCATTAGTCGACTAATACCCTTAGTAGTCGAATATAAATGCCTTAGTCAAAGTTACAGAAACTTCATATTTATAGATTAGTCGGCTACTATGCTTAATAGTCGACTACTCATTCTCAATTCAACTTACAGAAACTTAAATTTTACAGATTAGTCGACTAATGTCTTTAGTAGTCGACTACTAACCTGTTTCTTGACTTCATAGAGTCTAAATAGACTCAGTATAGTCAACTACTAAGCCTTGTAGTCGACTACAAAGATAATTTTTCTAATTGTTCTGAATTTGAATTAGTGATCATTTATAGTCGTTTGCAAACGTTAATTTGGTTTAAAATTTGAATATTTCTAAGGCTATAAATAGGTCAGAACATTAGAATTTGATGAGTGACATTAGTACGTACAAGATTCGAATTTTGATCAAATTCATTCTCACTTGATACAAATTCTCATTCAAATTGTCAAGAAAAGAAAATTCTGAGATTGCATTTGTTCTCCATCATTACTAGAAATTATTTAGGCAATTTTTCAGAGAGTTTAAATTCCTAAGCCACTGCTGCACTTCACATTCACATCAAGGCTTATAAGGATCTGTACATTTCTTCAAAGAAGGTTTCTCTTGGGTTTGAGAGAAGATCTCTTGGTGTAGAAATTGGTTGTAATTGGTATAGTCTTGTAAATTGGTCAGATTTGATCTTGTGGTTTTCAAGGTCAGGTTGGTTTGTGGATTTACAAATCAAGGAAAAGAAAATCTCAAACATGATTGGCTTAGGGACTGGATGTAGGTCTGGAGGATCGAACCAGGGTAAATCATTGTATTTATGTTTATATATTTTTCTGTGATTTGTATTGTTATTCGTTATCTTTTTAGTTGGTAACTTTTCTGATTAAAGATTTAAACACTATTAATTTCCGCTTTCTAGTGTTTGTGTTGTCATAGACCAACGATCGTACAATTGGTATCAGAGCAAGGTGAAAGATGGAAACAACAACATCATAGTTCAAGGAAGCATACTCAACACAACGACCTCCGCTCTTTGATGACTCCAACTGCAACTATTAGAAGTGCATAATGAAGATCTACCTCCAAGCACTTGGTTACGATCTTTGGAACATTGTTGAGATAGAATTCACAAAGCCAACCACTCCATACACCGAATGGACACTTGCTCAAAGAACAAATGTGAATCTGGACTCCAAGGCAATGGATGCGTTGTTTTGTGCATTGGACAAGAATGAATTCAACCGCGTGTCTACTTTCACTTCAGCCCATCAAATTTGGCATACATTAGAGGTAACACATGAAGGTACAAATAAAGTTAAAGAATCTAAAATCTATGTTCTTGTGCACATGTTTGAATTATTCGAAATGAAGGAACATGAGATGATCTCTGAAATGATTAGAAAATTCACCGACATCACCAACTCTCTAATTGCTCTTGGAAAAGAATATACACAATTAGAGATGGTGAGAAAAGTACTTCGAGCACTCACACCGGAATAGGAGAAGAAGATGATAGCAATTAAAGAAGCCAATGATCTCTCAACACTCACTCTAGAAAACCTCGTTGGGAATCTAATGGCATATGAAGTACAACTTCAAGATAGAAGGGAGAGAGAACAACCGGAGAAGAAACTACTTGGTTTCAATACTTCATCTGACACAGACAATTCAGATGATGATGATGAAGACATTGACGCACTTTCAAGGAAATTCAAAAAATTCCTTATTCATGGTAAGTATAAAAAGGTTAAAGATACTTGTTTTCATCAAAAGTTGATTTCGTTGTTGAACTCATTATATCTTCAGTCGATTACAACAAATTTGAAAGAAATAGTCTTTTTATAAGACTTCCTTTACACAACGAAATGAAAATTATAACTTTTTAGAAAATAACACAAAAATCATTTATCGATTTCTGTTTTGCGGGACTTTGCTTGTGCCGGGAGTGCTTTGGCTCGTGGATCACCGATTCATAGATCGTGAGGGTCTTTGGTATTCTTCCTTCTTTTAGAAGCAAGAATGAAAATCAGTGAATATCTTATCAAGATCGTGAGGGTCTTTGGTATTCTTCCTTCTTTTAGAAGCAAGAATGAAAATCAGTGAATATCTTATCAAAGTAAGATGAACACTCTTCTTAAGATCAAGTCAAAGCTCAAATCTCAAGGAATCACACAAATAATTCAAATGCTGCTTTGTCTGCTCTTTGCTCTTAGATCTCTGTAAATAATGGCCCTAGGGGGGTATTTATAGCCTCCAGGAGAAGTCCAACTAAAAATACAGTGTTGTGAATAAATCGTGCCTGCGAGACAGTGTTGTCTGTCTCGGTGGCCGAGATAGTGTTTGCTATCTCGGCTCCCGAGACAGCCATGACTATCTCGAAAATTATCAACTGTCTGTCAATTTCTTCTGTAACTACCTTTCCACGTTCTAAACTCTGTTATTTTGATAGTTATCCACGTGATTCTCGCCCATGATGTTTCACACGTTCTTTGACAGTTAATGGACACATGTCATGTAGTTATTTCAGCGACTTTTTATCATTTCAAAACTGTCTCGCGTGCGAGATAGTAGACATTGTCTCGCATATGCTAGACAGTCATCACTGTCTCGCGTGTGAGATAGTCTACACTTCTTGATCATTTCGAGACAGTGTGAGGTTATTTTCTATGTTCTTTGGATGATCTTCTCATTGTCTTGAGCTGTGTTTGGATATCTATTAGCATTTTTTGACGCCTACAGATACCCCCTCCAAAGTATTCCAGACTCATTCCTTTATAGAGGACTCTGGGGCACTTTGGATAAGACATGTCTGACTTACATTCCCTTCAATACTTGATTGAGTAGATCGTGTAGAGGGACCCGTAAATGGCTTCAACTCTTAACCTCTTTATCTCTCAATCTATTTAGTGCTTTGTAGAATAGCTAAGCTTCTTCTGGTACTACGTTTATCGCTTGATCGTTGTCGAGATCTTGAATCGAAGCTGTGAATTCAGCTTTTGTCTCCAAATTGATACTGGATTCTTTATCACTGTATCAGTCTTCATAAAAACACAGTTTATACTCATGTATTTTTTAAAAGTTTTCGGGAAATAGTTTAACCTCGTATACCCGTGGGGAGGTAATCAGGTTATTCTTAAGAATATTCTGGGTGATATTCTCCAGAAACTTACTGTTGAGGGTAGGGAAACAGTTTAGACTTGTGTACCTATTGGAGTATTCATATGTGTTGTACGTGTGTAGAGGTTACTTCATCAAAACACTAAGACATTGCATATCATACCCAAGATAGTCGTCACTGTCTCGCTAAGCGAGACAGTTTATACTATTTCGCGGTGCGAGACAGTTTGTACTATCTCACGTTGCGAAACAGTTTGTACTGTCTCACGGTGCGAGACAGTGTATGCTGTCTCGCATGGCAAGACAGTGATTACTGTCTCGCTGTCCGAAACAGTGAAGACTATCTCGGTCAGCGGAGTCGGGGGTATAAAACCCCGACTTAGGGTTTTTTCAGAGACTTTTCACGTCGATTTTTAGCGATCTTTTTGGGCGATTTTCAAGCGATTTCCAACGAGTTTTTTGTCTCCTCTTCCTCTCTTTGTTTCTGATTTGGGTAGAGCTCTTGCTTGGGAAAATTTCACTCGAAGTTTGAAGGTTTGTTCTCTCTCTCCTTTTTAAAATTTCAATTTTCTTTGATTCTTCCCCATACATGCGCATTTTAAGTGTATTTTGTGATATCTTTGTTGGTTCTGAGCCCAAAACCCTAACTTTCTTGTTGGATTTCGACAGGTATCATGTCGCCACGAAGATCTCGAATTCCCCGAGGCCGTTCGACTGCCCAGACTACCGAGGGGGCTGATCCCGTTGCCGTTTCGTATGGGGGTACACTCCTTTCACCCTTTCACAAATTTAAACATTGCATCTTGTTAATTTTATCTATATTTATCCATCTTTGTACGTAAATCCTTATTTGTCATCCTTTGAGATGCATTCGGGAAGAGCCGGTATCTTCCTTTGAGGGGATCGACGCTAGAAAGTGTTTGTTTTGTTTTGACAAAACACACTGCAGAGTATACAAGGGCGATTTCATATTATCCCACGTATTTTGAAAGGTTATGATATGCCGTTATAATGCTCGTGCATAGTAATGCATATCTCTTTTATACGTGTGGTAAATAAAACTCGTCACACCTGTTACAAGATGGTGATTCTATCTTATAGAATACGATACACCGTCTTCTCTAAAATTTTAGGACTATTCTTACATATTTTATGTGTACTTTTTCTTTGTCAGTGCATTTTCCTTCTATAATCTTTACTGCTAGTGAGGTCATGGGCCAAAGTAGTACCACACACTCTTATTATGAAGGAATCCCGTTAGTTGAATCAGCTCCCCAATTTAACTCAGACTACAGCGAAGGAGCCATGGAGTTGATACGACGAGGTAGTTGTCGTGTTTTGCGACGGTTAATCACGGAAGCGACTTTAATTTCAGAGCAGGACTCGAACCAGTGTATAAGGAAGCCAGATTTCCTATTTGGTGACTCTATAAGAGACCCGGAGGTTGTTTCTTGTAGATCTTGTTAGCCCTTATGTTTTGATGATGTTTTACAACCACCATTATCGGTACTAATAGCTTATTGAGTGCAAATGTAGTAAATTCTTTTATCAAGCTCGTTAGTGCCATTAATAGAGGATGGATGGAATATATGCTACAACGATGATATCAAAAGGAGGTGGAGGCATAATGATGAAGCAATGTTAATTCAAGAACAACAAATTCATAAAGAAGCTTCATAAAACTTAAAGCTATCAAGACTCAAGAACTGTATTCTATGTGAGGATTTTTAGCTAGTTTTTATTTTCTCTCTAGTGCTAGAATGTAGGCAAAGAGTTACTGATTTTACTTGAAGCTATTAGGAATCACACACACGTTTTCATACTTATGTTTTTTAAGCGTTTTTCACAAAATACTATTTTTCACCAGTATGAGGACCTATCTGCAAAATTCTTTTTCCAAACAGTTTGTTTTTAGTATTAAAAACATTTTACAAAGTTTTAGAATTTTCAGAGGTTAAATAAATATTTTGCAAATATTTCAAGTTGGGTCAAAATCTGTTTTCTGCAAAATATCAGAAAGCGGTCGACCGGTCCGGTCGACCGCTCCCATGGCCATTCGGTCGACCGGGGCGGTCGACCGAAATCTTGATTTTCATATCGGTCGACCGCGCCGGTCGACCGATGATGACTCTGCCTGTTTTCTATGTTTTCAAAGCGGCGTGCGGTCGACCGGATTTTCGGTCGGTCGACCGACTAAATTTTTCGGTCAACCGAAGGATTATTTCAGACGACCGAAATTCCCTTCAGTCAACCGCGACTTTTTTCAAACGGTCATTTGCCTAGTAAACTGCGCTTACACTTAACTGTGTTTGGCACAGTCTGAGATAAGGGTCTGAAAAGGAGATTATTATCCTATTTGGGAAGATTGAGTTTTGTTTTAAATTGATTTAATCTCTTCTATAAAAACCCTAGTCTTCTTCTTCTCCCTTAGCCCTAACGTTTGTAAAAAACTAGAGAGTCTGCTGTTTCCTGAGAAAAAATTTCAAAGTCTGGTTTCTGTGTTTTCTCTCTGTTTTTTGTGTGTGATTCACTTCCCAGCTTCAGTACTCTTTCTCTTTGCCATAGGGGCTGTGTAAAGAGAGAGTCTTGCATCTTTTCTTCTGCTGTGTGAGGGAGATCTTGTATAGATCAACTGTGAGGGAGTGTGATCTGTTGAGATCAAACTGTGTAGTGAGAGAGATCGTGTGGGATCGCTATGTAGACGAAGTTCCGGCTTCCAAACCGGGTGTGTAGTGGATTTCTTCCCGAGAGTGGGGAGCGGGGACGTAGACCAGCGGGCTGAACCTCGTTAACACATCACGCGTCAAGGATAACGAACTCCTAACCCTATCTCTCTTACTTTAATCGCATTACTGTTTTGTGGTTTGCTTGTGATTATCTTTTTATTGCATATTAGAGCCTCTTGACCCTAATCACCCCCCCTCTAGGGTCCAACAATTAGTATCAGAGCTTGGTCTCTATATTAATTTTTGGTTTAACCACCTTAGAGAAAAGATCTTACGGAGGCCTCTTTGAATATGCATATGTTAGAAGGACAATCCACAACTAGACCACCTCTCTTCACCGGGACAAATTTTGCTTATTGGAAGGCTAGGATGAGAATTTACCTTCGTTGCATTGACCTTGACATCCTAGAGCTCATAGAAAAGAAATATGTAGAGAAGTCCAAAGTCGGGAACATGTCCGATGATGAAAGGCACCTTGCCAATCTCAATGCTAAGGCCATGAACGCCTTAATTTGTGGTCTTTCCCCCAATGAATACAATAGAGTTTCCACGTGTGCAACCGCATATGAAATTTGGGAAAAATTATGTATCACACATGAAGGAACCCCCCAAGTTAAGGAATCTAAGATTAGTGGACTTATGCATGATTATGAGCTA